TACCAACTGCAGGACCTGGGAAGCTTTACTGAAATGCAAAAGTTTGTTCCCCCTCCAAATTCACATGTTGGAGCCCTAACCCCAACATGACTGTTACTTGGAGGTAAGGTTTTTAGGGAAGAAATTAAGGTTAAATGAAGTCATAAGGGTGGGGCCCTAATCTGACAGGATTAGTATCTTTATAAAAAGAGATATCAGAGAGTTCACTGGCTCTCTCTCCACCATGTGAGGACACAGCAAGGAAGTGGCCATCTGGAAGCCAGGAAGAAAACCAGTCCCCTGATCTTGGACTTCCAGTCTCCAGAACTGTGAGAAAAGAAATCTCAGTTGTCTAAACTACCTAGTTTACGGAATTTTGTTTAGGTAGTCTGAGCAAACAAACACAAACACACTAATCCCAAGAATTAATCACAGAGTATACAGAAAAAGAGGATCAAGAACAGGAGCCAAGAACAGTTAAGACTGGCTTCTACCACGAACTCAGCCACTCTGTGGTACACCCTTAACCCTCTGAAGCACCTTTCTTCTCTTCTATGAAATGAGAGGCTCTAGGTAGAACTTCTTCAGGTCTCTTAAAATTTCCAAACTAAGCTCTTTCCAGTGATAAGAGTCTGGAGAAGATGTGTAGAAATGGCACCTTGTAGGGGGAAAGAAAAGAAGAAAGAACAGGTCATCAGCCTTGGCCCTCAGATGGCTGAAGAAAATGTATTTGGTGTGTGCCACACCTTTGCATCCTTCATCAACACTTTTGTCCATATCACCAATCTTTCAGGCAAGGAAACCATCTGCCGTGTAACTGGTTGGATGAACGTGAAGGCTGACTGAGATGAGTCCTTTCCATATGCTGCCATGTTGGCTGCCTAGGATGTAGCCCAGAGATGCAAGGCACTGGGCATCACTGCCTTCCACATCACACTCTGGGCCACAGGAGGAAATAGGAGCAAGACTCCTGGACCAGGAGCCCAGTCAGTGCTCAAAGCCCTTGCCCGCTCAGGGATGAAGATTGGGTGGATTGAGAATGCAAGCTCCATCCCCTCTGACAGCACCTGCAAGAAGAGGGGTCTCCACGGTCACCATCTGTGAACAGGACTCCTCAAATTGTTTGTTAATAAATTACCTTGATGTAAAAACAAAAACACTTTCAAATTAAAAGTGTTACATACTGTGGGCTATGGCTCAGGCAATGACAATGCCAGGATTCTATCCTCATGAAGCACAAAGTTCTTATGGGTATTCACAAAGCTATTTAGTTATAAGCATATTCATGACAGAATTGCATTTAATGGCAAAAAACAAGAACAGCAACAAAAAAACTTGTAAATAACCTATCCAACAATAAACTATGTTAAATAAACTATATAGTAGAGACAGATCATACAATAAGTGAATATTTATTCTGCAAACCTGTTTAAAAAAATTAACATCAAGTATATACTGCTAAGAAACCTTAAAATTATAGATTGGTAAAAACTTTGTTAAAAATACGATCAGTGAACATGGAGCATGCCACTCCTGTATGCAGCTATTCCTTCCACGTGAGTCACTTTTCAAAAAAACTGTAAACTGTTTTATTGAGGTATATTTGACATAAACTACAATATCTAAAGTACACATTTGGTAAGTTTTGACATATATAAACCCATAAAACCCACAGGCCCATAAAACCAGAATAATAAAGATAACATATCCATCACTCCCCAAAGTTTCCTGGTGCACCTTTATAATCGCTCCCTCCCAACACTCCTTGCTCTCACTCGCCTCCTCAAATCACCACTGATTTGCTGTCACTATAGGTCAGTTTGCATTTTCTAGTTTTATACAAATGAAATCATACATTACATACTCTTTTTTTGCCTGGCTTCTTTCACTCGGCATATTTGTGTTGAGATTCAGCTATGCCGCTTCATGTATTTATTTCTGCGTGATATTTCATTGTATGGGTCATTTTGACTCTGAATTAGCAGTCTTCATTTCCAATCCAGTTGCTTCAAGAAAAGAGGCTTCAGCAATGACATCTAATATTTCTTTTAACTTCACCATTTTCAAGGAATTAGGATGTTCCAGGCCAGGCTTGATATTTTCTCTTTTAGACACCGCTTGCTTTGCTTTGATTCTTTCAAAGCACTGCCTCATTTACATTTCACGTAAATTTCATTCTGCAGCAAGTTAATAAACCCAACATTGTGGGGCTGCTGGTATGTTCCTGGTGAGTTTTATCAGCTGGGTTCTATCAAGTGACATGAATGCTGATGTCACTAAAGTGTCACTTTGCATTTGTCATTAAATACAAAACAGTAATTAGTGTATGAATCAATTTTTGTTCTTAAAATACTTTAAAAGATGACAAAACTATATGTGAAAAATGATTATTAATCTGTATTACCAAATACAGTAAACATTTTCTTTTTAAGGTCAAAGGGGAGTCACACACACAAAAAAAGGTGATAGGATTTTACATAATTGGTATTTGCTAGACTGCCAAAGAACAGGGATATCCAACTACTATTATTGTATAATAGCTTAATTCATAAGCCCTCACGTGTTCACCTAGAATGGGCTTCTTAGGAAACATATCCCTCATGTCTCTGGAACCAAAACATAAATGTAAAATTGTAAACCTACTTTCATAAATATAAATGGAATTTGGAACCTTTTAGAGATAAAGTAGTTCCAATGACAGCTTCCAAGTTTTTGGCCTTGTAATTTACAGTCTTTAATTACAGTCTTTAATTGTAAGTCTGTATAAAGCTTGACTAGAGTAACAGTTTATTATTTACCAAACTCCCTTTCACTCATTAATCACAATATGCATTACAACACAGTTGCAAAATAGGTCAAAATACTCCTAAATACATTTTTGGCATTCGGTACTTATTAATATTACTCCCCTTTCTATTCTTTGAGAAAGCCTGTATTTAGTTAAGACACTTGCTAAAAATGCTAATTATTTAACGATAACACATCAAGTTTTCTCGTAGGGAAATACAACGTCAAAACCCTAAGGCAGCCGTGAATATCATCTTTGTATTTTTAAGATCTGAAAATTCACTTCTTCCTAATGTTACCCAGATATGGTCAACGCAGCATACAGAAAAGAATTTTTGGGAATTCTGTGATCTTGAACAAAAGCTTAAAATAGAACGCAACGAGGGAACTACTTCATCTACAGGTAAAACACAATCCAATACGCCTCACATTGTTAAAGTGAAAAGTCGCTCAGTCGTGTCCGACTCTTTACGACCCCATGGACTGTAGCCCACCAGGCTCCTCCATCCATGGAATTTTCTAGGCAAGAGTACCGGAGTGGGTTGCCATTTCCTTCTCCAGGGGATCTTCCCTACCCGGGGATCGAACCCGGTTCTCCGGGTTTTCGGGCAGACGCTTTACCGCCTGAGCCTACTTCTTATTAAACTGCAATAGTTAAATAATACTGCCCACGTGCCTTCCAACCTTTTTGAGTTCTGGCGAATGACAGGAACGAAAGCCAAAAGCGAAGGAGCGAAAACTACGCCAAAGCGCCCTAGGTCAGGCAGGCAAACTGTAGCCACGCAACGTGGTAAGTTGAGACAAACCTAATTTGTGAACGAAACCTAGGCCCCGAAAGAAGAGTGAGCCGGCTTCGGACTCATCTGAGCTCAACTCTGGAGGAGTTTAGCTGGACCCGTAATACAGTGAGTAGAAGCTGCTTCTACCCCAACACTACTCCCAGAAAAAGAACGGAGAAAAGCAGACAGCTACTAGGGCGACTTTGACCTACACCCCGTGACCTGGTTCCTCAGTCAGTTCAGTCGCTCAGTCGTGTCCGACTCTGCGACCCCATGGACTGCAGCACGCCAGGCCTCCCTGTCCAATACCAACGCCCGAAGTTTACTCAAATTTATGTCCATCCAGTCGGTGATGCCATCCAACCATCTCATCCTCTGTCGTCCCCTTCTCCTCCCGCCTTCTATCTTTCCCAGCATCAGGGTCTTTTCAAATGAGTCAGCGCTTCGCATCAGGTGGCCAAAGTACAGGAGTTTCAACTTCAACATCAGTCCTTCCAATGAACACCCAGGACTGATCTCCTTTAAGATGGAGTGGTTGGATCTCCTTGCAGTCCAAGGGACTCTCAAGAGTCTTCTCCAACACCACAGTTTAAAAGCATCAATTCTGTAAAGTAATTAGCCTCCAACTAATAAAAATAAATGGAAAAAAATAAAAGAAAAGAAAAAAAATAAAAGCATCAATTCTTCGGCGCTCAGTTTTCTTTATAGTCCAACTTCCACATCCTAGCTCTTCACCCTCTTGCACGCCCCGCCCCCCACCTCCCCTGCCCCGCCGCAGCCCCCAGGCTTCCTCAAGAGCCCCTCCCCTAGAACCCATTCAAAGCGCCACGTCTCCTAGCTCCTGGCCACCAGCCATCCCTCAGAGGCTTCCTCCAGTGAACCCCTCCCAACCTCCCGCCCAGAGTCACCGGTCCCCAGTGCTCGGCGCGCCTCCGGCACACGCCGAAAAACGTCCCTGCCGACCGCCTCAGCCGTGCGCTCCCTCCAACGGCTTCCGCCCCGCCTGGCCTCGCCCGCGCCCACGTGACACCCACGCCCCGCCCACCGGGGGCCCACGTGACCCACGGCCCCGCTCCGCCCCCCCCCATCGCCTCCCGCTGCGTGGATCGCGGCCGGAGCCGCCATTGTTCCGCCGAGGGAGGACAGCTGGGGCCCGGCACTGGCGCGGAGACGCCGCTTAGCGGCCGCCACTGGAGACACTCCCTCCCGCCGTCCCCCTTCTCTGGCGGCGGCGGAGTAAGGCTCTGACGAGGGGGAAACCGGGGTAGCGCCCCCCTGTCCTCCTGGCAGCGACAGCGGCCGATCCCCGGCTCCGGCGCGAGGGGCGGCCGCGATGCGCTCGGCCTGAGGCGGTCCGGCCCCGGCGCGTCCTCGCTTCCCTCGACTGTTCCACGGCGTCTCAGCGGCCCGGCGTCATCCTGTGAGTCCCCCCGCTCCCCCTGACGGGGAGGGAAGATGGCTACACGGAGCTGGCTGGACGAGCTGGCCCAGCAGGCCGAAGACGGCTCGGCCCGGCTGCAGGAAATGCTCTCGGTCGGCCTGGGTTTTCTGCGCACCGAACTGGGCCTCGACCTGGGGCTGGAGCCGAAGCGGTACCCGGGCTGGGTGATCCTGGTGGGCACGGGCGCGCTCGGGCTGCTGCTGCTCTTCCTGCTCGGATACGGCTGGGCCGCGGCTTGCGCCGGCGCCCGCAAGAAGCGGAGGAGCCCGCCCCGCAAGAGGGAGGAGGCGGCGGCCGCCGCGCCGGCCCCGGCCGCTGACGACCAAGGCGTGCTGAAGAATCTCAGGAGCGAGGAGCAAAAGAAGAAGAACCGGAAGAAATTGCCGGAGAAGCCCAAAGTGAGTAGGGGAGGAGCGGCGGGGTGGTCGGGGGGTGGGGAGCCCCCCGCCCCCGTCGAGCGATAGGGAGGCCAAACCCCAGCCGCCCCCGCCGGAATCCGGCAAAGGGGACCGAGGGAACATAGTCGAGAGCCGGGATGGAGCCTCCCAGGTGGAGGCGGCGATCGGTGGACACGTTTCTTGGGGAATGGTGGGAACTCAGGAAGTATAGGACCCTGTGGGGCAGATCGGTTTGGAGGAAGGAAGTTAGACTATTTTGGGGGTACTTTTAAATAAAAGCCCTCCGGAGGGCGAGACAGTTTGGGGACCCTTGACCGCCCGAATGACATGCCAAGCCGCTGCACCTCCCCCCCCCGCACCCCCCTCCCGAGGCCTACTTGGTTAGGCTGCCTGTGTTTGCGGAGGCCGTTGGGACCTTATGGTGGCGTTGGGAAGTTGTGGCAAGACTGCGCCTGGAATCCAAGAGCTTGCGTGCTTCAGGTCCCGCCGAGGTGGGAGGCAGTGGAGGAGATAACGGTGAATTAAAAACTCCGGGGCTTACTCGAGGATTAAAGGTACCCAGGTCTGGACGCGCTTCCATTTTAGTTAGGGCTCTAGAAGGGAAATGGTTGCCCACTCTGCTTCTGGTGCATGTGGCCCCTGGAGGCCGAAACAGGAGCCCGGCAAGAGGGAGTCTGTCTTCTAACGTACCTTGGGGTACACGGCTCTCTGAGAGGGCGCCAAGGCAAGTTCAGCGGAGCGGTGTGGGAGGTTTTGAAATAGGGTAAAAAGGATGACAGAGCAGAATGGTGCCGGGCTGAGAAGAGGGATCAGGCGCCCATTTACCGGACCACGTGTGGAAAGGCAGAGCGCATCACGACCGTCTTATCGTGCCTTCGCCTTTTATTTCTGCATCCTTGATTGCCATGTCCCCCATGAGTCTCCCATTAGAACTTTCATGGTTTTATTTTACTTCTTTAAAAATAGCGTATAGTTGACCAGAATATGGAGGGTGTGCAAAATTGGAAACTACTCCTAACCTATTTTTATAGCCGCTGGTTTTAGCGCCTCACCTTTTCAGCACAATAAGATTCTGTGTGAGATGCCCTCTGGTTTTTGGTGGACAGTGAGCGGTATGTACGTTAAAGTTAGTCGTGGAAACTAATATAGGAGACAGATTCAAAAATAATTCTAATATCTTGTGGACTGACAGGTGCTGTAGAGGTGTGCACAGTGTAAATGAGGTTTAGAGAGTGGGAGGGATTTGGAAGAATTTAGCAAAGTTATGGAGGCAGTCAGGTGTGAATTCAAGCTAAAGTCATGAGAGTATGGTTGGTGACAGTACAAAGGATGACACTGTATTAGAGCTGTGACAAGTCACAATTACTGCATTATTAGGTCTAGATTAGACCTGCTGGTGAAGAGGATACAAGATGTGTACAAGAACTAGAAAAGGGTACAACTTTGTTAGTATGGCTACTGCCTTAGGTTAGGAGAAGAGAAAATAGAAGTGATTTGGAAACTATGTAATTATATTTAAAATAGTAGAGTATCAAAGTTTACTGGAAAGTAATGTTATGGTGGAAACCTGGCTCCAAGATAGGAAAGAAGGTGCTTTTAAAAAATCACATTCATTCATAAGCCTTAAGACCAGTGTGGATGAAACAGGTTGTGAAAATTTCAAAGCCCTGTTTGCGCCTCTTGAATTTCAGACAGATTTGGGTTAACAGATAGGTGCTAACAAGAGCCCATTTGAAGCGCATCACAATACTTAGATGACCCATCTGAAGAAGGGACACAGACAGGCTCCTGTGGAAGTTGTGCTGTGAAAATTACTCATCAAACTTAGTATTTGTGTTAGGGGGAATAAATAAATAAATCCAGTATTAGCTTTGGAGAATAGAGAATGGGAAGGCTGACAGAGTGGTTGAGTGTTAATTGCATAAGAAAGTATGTTTGCCTACCTAACAGTAAAGATGTGTTGGAGAAGTTTATCAACATTTACAAAACTGTGGCTTTCAAAAGTTTTTGACCACAACCTACAGAAAACATTTTACAATACTCCCCTCCCTCACACTATTCTATTTTTCTTTAATGGTATTTGTGACTTACTAAATTAGTTTCACATTTGATTTGAGGGGTGACCCACAGAAAAACGCTGCTTTATAGGGTTAAGAAATCCAAGCTTCCATTTAGTTAGTTATTAGTTGGTTAGTATTCATATGTTTCAGCACTTTGCTAAGTTTCTGTTTGGGGAAAAGCAGGATGCTGCTTGCAAATTGAAGGCAGTAAAAAAGGAACACCATATTTCATGTGTCTTATAGTGAAAGGGATACAAAAGCAAAAGCTCAGTTTTCCCCAGGGAACTTCTTATTCCAGCTGTGGAAAAAAGATATCAGAAACTTAACAGTGCAACCTTATTGAGACCCAGGTAGCCAGGAAAAACCTTTTGTGAAATTTGACTTTGAAAGTGGGGAGGAACTGGATATTGGGAAAGGCTGAAGAAATAGCAAAGGCTTGAGGGTGGAAGACTTAACTCTGTTGGCCTGGCAGGAATTGGAACTCTAAACTTGAGTGAGGCATTTAACCTTGTTTCCGTTAGCTTATCTTGTTTATAATTGAAGATCTTACTTGAGGTAAAACACTGCAGCATTCCTCAGAGTGCTCACTCTGACTACTTGCAGTAGTTACTTTGAATGCTTGTTAAATCGTGTAGATCCTGAGTCCAACTACAGATGTAAATTCAGAGTCTGTGGAGCTGGGTCCAGGGAATCTGCTTTTTTTAACAAGCTCCCTTGCCTATCTGGAAATCATTGACTGCAGTAGTGCCATAAGATTCAAAGTGTAAGAGAGATTTCTAGGTGCAGTCATGTTAATCTTATAATTCATCTTTTATTACTACATCATTCTGATAAACATTTTGAATATACTTCTGATTCAAGTGGATTCAGGGGTGTCAACTACAGTTTTTTTGAAAGAACATTCTGAATTTATTTTGGTCCTTTTTAAGTTTTCTCTTAAATCATTCCAGATGTCACAACTCAAATTTTCAGTTTGTTTCTAGTTGCCTGTTTTTATGTATAGAGTAGATGTCATTTAGCTTTTCTAAATCTCTTCATAAACTTTTTTTTTTTTTAATTCTTGTATTGGTTTGCTTTTTATCCTCTAATACCTTGCCATAGGTTTTTGTGTTCATTCCCCTGTTAAAAGTGAATGGGGATGACACTTTTCACTGGGCTTATCACTGTTTTCTTACATGTGTTTTTCTTGACACCTTGTTCATCGTGAGTATTAAGTAGACACTCAGTAAATATTTTTTCTTGACTTAACCTGTACGGTGATTTAGATGGATGTAAATGGCAACCCACTCCAGTATTCTTGCCTGGGAAATCCCATGGACAGAGGAGCCTGGTGGGCTACAGTCCATGGGATCCCAAAGAGTCGGGACACGACTTAGCAACTAAACAACATCTCAGATAGCTGGTCTTCAGCAGTTAGTGCTTTGTGTTTCACCTGGAAGCAGGTAACCAAGATCATCATCAAAGAAAATTCATTTTTCATAAAGATTTTCCATAGTACAATTGTTAATATCTATAAGCTCCATACATAGTGTTTTGTCTTGTTTGCTACTGTATAACCTTGCATAGTGGTTGGCACCTAATAAGTATTGAATGTATAATACAGTAAAATGTTCCGCCAAAGTATTTATGCAGCTTGATTCTATTTTTTATGCCTAGATACATCCATGTGAGCCACCTTTTTATTTTTACAGTGAAAAATGGCTATGTTTGCCTCATCTGGCGTAAATTTTGTAAGGTCCATCTTTCTACAGCCAGTAGATCATTCTAAATAGTAAGCTGTGTCTTTTGTAGTAGTTACTTCTTTTCTAGTTTCACTGCCACTGCCCTACTTTCAGACTTCATTACCTTTTGCTTAGGCTATCCTAACAGCATCCTAACTGGTTTTCCTGCTTTCAGTCCCTTTGTTGCCAATCCTTTCTACCCACTCATGCCAGTTAAATCTTTTAAAGTGTTAGGCACTCAGACGTGTCTGACTCTTAGTGATCCTGTGGACTGTAGCCCACCAGGCTCTTTAGTCCATAGAATTCTCCAGGCAAGAATACTGGAGTGGGTAGCCATTCCCTTCTCCAGGGATTCTTTCCAACCCAAGGATCAAACCTGCATCACTTACGTCTCTTGCACTGGCAGGTGAATTCTTCACTAGCACCACCTAGGAAGCCCAACTCTAATCATGTGACTTTTGAGTTCACATCCTTTCAGTAATTCCCCAACACCTGTTGAATAAAATTCAGTGGCATGGCTCTCAAGCCTTTCATGATCTAATCCCATCTTACTTTTTATCTGTTACCATTACCCATATGTGGAGAAGGAAATGGCAACCCACTCCAGTATTCTTGCCTGGAAAATTCCATGGACAGTGGAACCTGGGAGGTTACAGTCCATGGGGTAACAAAGAGTTGGCCACAACTGAGCACATCAGCACATTACTGATAAGACATTACCATTAGCTAGATATCATTGTCTCTCTATTCATATTACCTTCTTCTATTCATATGATTTCTTCTAAAAAGCCCCCTTTTTCTGTATCTCTGCCAATTTCTACTTATCGTTAAATGGCCCAGCTACATTGCTACCTCTACTATAAAGCTTTTGTCTAGCTCCCCAGCTAGAGTTAGTCTCTCTTTTATATGTTTATATTTTTTATGAGAGCTAAAACAGAGCATTGCCTGGGAATGTGATTGTAGAATGACTCAGACTTTTTCATAACTCTCTGCATGTCCAAGAATGACAATTATTGATTTGGGGGTTAGAAATGACTTTTAGCTAGTAGGCGAATTTGTGGATATGGAATCTCCAAATAATGGCAATCAACTGTTTGTTTGTATTTATAACTGAACTAATGGGTTACCCTGGTGTGGCTCACTGGTAAAGAATCTGACTACTAATGCAGGAGATGAAGGTTCAATCCCTGGGTTGGGAAGATCCCCTGGAGAAGGAAAT